TGTTGTATCTCATTCAGTTATTCGGCGGTCTCTTTTTTTCAACACACTATAATAGACTCAGTAAAATAATGCCCTGATAACGGGACCCTTTACAGTATCTATTCCTGAACAAAGATACTACAGGCCCCGTTCTCCAGTCCAATGATGTCTTCCCCGTAGCCAATAGTTCTTCTTCCCAGTAAGAGAGCCACGTGTTAGTCACGGCATGCCTTGTTCGCCTAAAGCTTTAAACATTTCAGTATGGATTTCATCAATTCCAGCCACGTTGCCAGAAATGATAATCGGATTAAAATTTTTCGCCTTGAACAGAAGGTCTGGCAGGGCATAACTGAGTAATCAGTACTTAAAAACAACGAAGTGGACTTTTTATAGTTTCTACAACTCTCAGTAAATGTTTTGTAACATTGAACTGTGCTAATCTGTACGGTGGCAAGTATACACTGCGTCACTTTGATCCTCTTTCTTACTGACACTATTCACTGCCTGGAAATCAATTTAGATCACTACCCTGCTGAACAGTTCACATCTGGGTTACTCTAATCAAGCAAAAGAACTAACTGAATTAATCAATGATTAATAATGAAACGAAACAGCCGAAAACGAGACTTACGGGACTGTTGCTGATCCATGCTCTCCCCGTCTTCACTTAAATACTCAGACTGCGGAGACTCTAGAAAAAACTCGTTTATGCCGTTCAGACGACTGGGATTTGCAAGCGACGTCACGGGACAGAATGTTACCTGCTTTGGCAGCCAAAAGATTACTGTTGACGCCAGGGAAGTCAACGTTCTCTGGTACACCGGGATTTTTCATCGGCGACGGTGGAGAAACGGGTTCGAGAATGTTATTATCGTTTATGTTCCCGTTGTTCTGAGGTAGAAGTCCGGTCGCACCTGTTGTACTGCAAACTGAAATCTGCGAATGCTTCGGCACAAGGATCGGCGGCAGCACTACAACAAACGAACACTGATAAACTACTACCGCAATGTATCACAACACACAGGATGTTACATCATGGCATGTCCGAGCTGAAGAACATTAAAAACAACACACTGTCAAAAGAAATGACCGACAAACAGTTGTCAGTTTAAGAAGAAATGCACTGAATCGTCATACATACAAAACTCATGTTCGAGAAGAATACTCTGAACGGCAAACTTAAGGAATATCTCAAATCTCAGGTACATAATAACAAACTGAAATGCATCAAACCTTCGGTGAAGTTTAAAAATCGAAGCGCACTGGCCAACTATATTGGGTCCGTTTGACTGATATATCCAGCATTATCCCACTCGTTGTCAGATAACTGATTCAATATTTAAAAAAACATACCAACGAAATCAGCTTTTATTTAAAGGATGAAAATGCAATAACAGACTGTCACAGTAGAACAGTGTGTCGTTGGGAGTCGCTTAATGTCATCTAAATCATACGTAACGCATCCTCTTAAAGAACTCTGATGTACCAGTCGGATCAGTAATAGTGTATTTAAAGTTCGAGTCAGCAATGATCGTAGAGCCACGAATTTACACAGTGCACAATATGCTCAGTGAATTAAGGCACTCAAATTAAAAAGCAGAAAAATTTCAATTTCGTGATGCTGGATTCGGTGAGTGATAAAAAATATCTGACTCTATGACTGAATAAGGCTATATGGAGATATAAGTTTCTGAGAGCACTGACACTGTCACTCGTAAGGGTGAAATTCAGCAAAATCAGACAAACAACCGCACATACCACCACTTGCACACGAATTCCCTTCCCTTATTACAGAGCCATAGAGACGTGGACTGTTCATAGTCTAAACCTCACCTTGAGTTCTTCATCCTGCTGAAGCATAAAAGCTGAAATCGACTATTGCCGTTGCTTATTTCAGTGATGCAGATGGTCTTGACAGTGCCCAGAAAAGTTTTATTAATAAGAAATATTCCATTCCAATGGTTGAAGGGAATGCATAATTCTCTATTAATCGAACTATTATCTGGTGCTAAATCGGCAGAGCTTTAACCTAGATCAGCTTGGGTCTTCAGACAAAAAAGCCGGTCAAATGCTGCCGTCAGCGCTTCTAGAGGTTAAGATAAATGAAACAATCCTTAGAAACGCATGCCATCAAATAAGCATAAAATTGAATGATACGACTCGCAAACAATACCAAAGTGCTAAAGCGCATGATGATTTAACCACTGGTAAAGTTGACTGTAAAAATATTTCAGAACTACACGATAGTGTTAATGATTTAACATGTTGTAACCAGTGCATGCAATATTAGAAAACCACTCTCGTACCAAAGCCGGACGAGGAAGGTGTGCAGTCGTCACATTCCGTCGTTATCGCATTCAGTGCTGTCCTGAGTCACTTATCTGAGTGAAGCAACAAAATTATGGATTCTCTATTCGCCAATTAAGCTACCGGTAGACTGCAATGCGAACTGATCTACATGAGAGTTGATTTAATCAGTACAAGAAGCAACTCCTTATAAAAATTTGGTTCATGGTTTAACTACCTGACGTGCACTCGCATAGACAAGACCCTGAATTTCCGTACGTGAATAAGGCATGAACATCAGGGAGGGCAGAACTTAGTGAATCAAGAGAATAAAATGGTAACTCAGAGGGACGCTTCTACGCCACTCTACGCTAAACGAAAGTTCTATCAAGCATAAATTTACGATCAATTAGAAATAAGCCTCTGATTCTATCTGACTCTGATACACTTGCACAATGACTAAAAGCTCAGCCATAAGTTCATCATCCTGATAAAACTAATTCTTACTTACGCTAAATTGTGTCTAAGGAAGCGTCTGCTGTCTTGTATCAAAGACAAAACACGAACGAACTACTATTGAATCTTCGACAAAACGCATATGTTAAGGAAGAATGAAACGACAATAACTGCTTTAAAATTTTTTTGATGGAGTAACTGCCTAAGACAATATATGACAATGGTTACCTGGATTTTCGATCTTCTCATAATGATAAGGGTTTACGCAAACCTCTTCGCGCTTTAGATTAAAGGCGTACTGGCAGTGAGGGACCGGCTTTAGCTGATGATGTGATTGAAGATCTGGGAAACGCCACATTTTGCAGTAAATGACGTGCGGCAAACCTTTTCTCTGAGACACCTGCAGCCGACCATCTAAGGATCTACAACAATCACAAAAGAAGCTTAGAAAACGGAACAAGCAACAATCAGAAAAGGCTTGTTTACCGTGGAATCGTAATACACTTAGTGTGGGGATCCTGCGTCGTAACGGTCTTCTCGAGTTCCTCTAATGTACCGGCCTTCTTGAGTTTCTTCACAAGACTTTTAACCGCCTTTTCGCACCACCGCTGGTCCTTAAAATGAAATCAGTAACTGGCTGACTAAGAAAACAATGCATATGTGAAGTTTAGCCGGCAAAATTAAGAGTACTACAAACGTCCACGTGACAACCAGATTTTGTAGGGCATGTGTGTTCCCACGAAAATAGAAACATCTGACATGCACACTGCAACAGGCGAACATGTAAAACATTGCGCATTTTCGAACTGTCAAACTAAACTAACAATGAAAGAGGCAAACAATCGAATACGGGTAGATTAATTTTAACTGATATTTGACGGTACCTAATCTCAATGAAAAAATAACAAAGAACTTAGGTAAGCTACGTCGTTCACGCGTTTTACGCCCGTCTCAATACCACTCATTCGCAATAGTATTAGTAATAACTGATTTTACAGCGTGTAAGTGCACTGTTATCGAATGAGTCTTTAAAACTAACTTGACCTACAGTGTTACACCGCATTTTTCCAAATATATGAAGCAGTGCAGTGCTTGCGCGAATTTATTGGTATACAAGTAGCCTTAGAAGACCACTGGCTGCAATGTACGATC